GTCTAGGGTTTAGGGTCTAGGGTAAAGAAATGGACCCCGTATCAAGAACAGGATATGGATTAGTGGTTGCTATCACATCCCTTCTGACTTAGCCCCTATATAGCCCCCTCAAGGAGATGGAATATGGGGTATATGGGGATATTACTATAATCTACCCTAAGATTCTATCTACTTCAGGGGGACTATCGTCTCTACAAATACCAGTTTCTCCTATTCCCCACCCACCTCTCCCCTAAACCCTAAACCCTGAACCCTGAAAGCCTGAACTCTGAACGGTCCAGCAGTAAGGCTAAAGCTCGCCGAGCTGGAGAAGCAGTTTCAAGAGGCTCACCCTAAACCCGAAACCCTATATGGGGGTTTCCCAAAATTAGGGGTACCTTTTTGGGGGTCCCTATAATAAGGATTCTAGTATATTGGGGTCTATATTGGGGTCCCCTTATTTTGGGAAACTACCGTATCATCCTACAGAACCTATATTACCTTTATATTATCCCAAAATTAGCTCATATGACCTACATTACTCCTGTATTATTCCAATATTATCCTGTATAACCTATATTACACTTATATTCTCCCAATATTACCCTATATATAACCTATATTACCTTTATATTATCCTAATGTTACCGTACATAACCTATAGTATCCCAATATTATCCTATATAACCTATATTACCCTTATATTATCCCAATATTGCTGTATATAACCGATATTACCTCTATATCATTCCAATATTACCCTAAACCCTAAACCTTCAACCCTAAACCTAAACCTTCAACCCTAAACCCTTAACCAGTTTCAAGAGGCTCGAAGTGCACGCTTGGACCCGCTGGCGGCAGACGCTGGGCTGCGTCAGTCACAATGCGGCTGTGGATAAGAGTAATCCTGTATGGGAGCTATGGTCTAAACCCCTTAAAGGGGGTTATATAGGGGATCACCTAGGAAACTCCCATAGGGCTTATTCAAGGGGATACTCGGAGTTTAGATTACAGGCATCAGATCCACTCTGGACGTTTGCTACTTTTCATGTGCACGCACATAAAAACAGTAGCGGCGCTGCACAGAATGACGTAGACTTGGAGTTTACATATGAACGCTTCCCTAAACCCTAAACCTTATCTAATCCCATTATAGCTTCCATTTTCTTTTCCATTATTCCTATTTTCCCGCTAAGGCTATGGTACCCATTGCCCCAGCCATCAGCCGGCTGGCTGTGGCAACCTCTGGCCGAGCCTCGTCTGTGGTCTCCCACAGTACGACCTCCGCAGTCTCGGCTACAGCCCGGGAGACGCCCCCGCAGTCATTTGGCAGCTTTGTAAAGTAGAGTTTAAAGTAGATAGAATATGGGGCATATGGGGATCTTATTATAATATACCCAAAGCCACATTCTATCTACTTAGGGGGAACTGAGTCTTGGCACTGTTCTTTGGCGCTGCAAACTGATTTCATGTGAGGCTGACCATCGAAACCAATGAGACGGCACTCACGACAGATCTAAACTCCACGACCACGGGCGACCAGTCGCCACAAGAGCAGCTTGCCTTCATCAACAGAATCTTTCGGTTGCAGGGGTTGGCAAAGCTAGCCCCTTGTCTTGAGCCACAGTAAACAGATGGCACAGAGCTGCCACGGGTTTCCAAAAAAGGTCACCGAAGTTCACGGTCCCGTTCCTCGGTGCAGGGCTCCTCGGGCTAAGCGCGACCCGGCTCGAACTTGAATTGAGTAGTATTTTATTTGGGGATACTATGGTACCCATTATAGAGTAAGATTCTATCCTCCTTTTGGGGTATAGTATTTAATATAAGGAATATTATCTCACTGGGTTTAACCACCAAAAAAAAGCGCTACTCAATTGATTTTCTGAAATGGAGCAGTGGCAGTCACAGCGCCAATGCGAAGGGCAAAGAGTGAGTGGGGCTGCAGATGGGGGAGCCAGTAGCTCGGGAGCCGCAAGTTGTGAGCTTGCTTAGTTGCAATGGGAGGTTCCATCACATAAGTGCAGCATTCAGGATCAGGAGGCCCAAGCTATTCGTCATCGATTGCGCGTGCGCCTTGGTGTCATCTCCCCGAAACAGCTGCCTGGCAAACAGTCTATGCTGCTTGTAAGCGGAAAACAGGAGAGATAGATAGGCCGTCCGACCTAGCATCGCAGCTGTGAGCAGCAGGAAGGACATAAACGTGTTCAACTTGTCAAAAGGGCATGTGCACCTCACCTCAGAGTTTTACTTTGCAAGAGTATTCCCAAAAAAGGTTGGGCATCCAGGTCCAGGTGGAGGCAGATGTTTGACCTGCGAAAATTCCGCGTCCGAGGCTTGTTTCAGGAAAATCTCTTCACGACTCCATCGTGGCTTTAGGACTGACACGTTCCTTGCCTGCAGGTGTTACAACCATAGATTGGCAAACACCTGCCGTTTCGACACTTGTCGTGAGAGCTGTTAGCCTCTGAGAATGGAACTGTTCCAGAAATTCACAGCCCGCATACGCAGAGCTCGGACATGCTGGGAGTCTTGACTTCTACTCCTGCCTACCAGGCTACTCTGTGGAAGAGATGGATGAATTGGTGAACATGCTGGCAGATTTTGTCGGCCTGCGCTTTGAGCAGGACCCTGGACGCGAGCTGCGCCTAATACCTCTAGATCAATTGTTGCCTTTGTTATTCGGGATGTGTCAGGTGGGGTGCAGACTAGCTGCCAGGGGAAAAGAAAAGTCCTGACCACGTTTAGGCGGCTGTCAACAAATCAATGTTTTTGCGGAGCATGGATCCTGAAATGGGAATGCTGATTAATTGCTGCTGCTGTCGCCGCTGCTGCTGCAGCCCTACTTCTGCAAGTATTACGACTACTGCTACTGCTACTCTTTACTGCTGCTTCTGCTGCTGCTACTGCTCCTTCTCCTCCCTCTCCCCCTCCCCCTCCTCCTCCTCCTCCCCCTCCTCCTCCTCCTCCTACTACCCCTACTGCTATACTACTGCTCCTCCTTCTTCCCTTCCTCCTGCTGCCGCTTCTGCGGCCGCTACTACTACTACTACTACTACTACTACTACTACTACTACTCCTGCTGTTGCTGCTGCTGCTGCTGCTGCTGCTGCTGCTGCTTCTGCTTCTGCTTCTTTTATTATATTATTATGTCTACGTTTACTTCTACTTACAACCACTCCAGTCACAATAGTAGAACCAACAGCGACAGCGACAGCCACAGCAACGTCATCTACTGCATCTACAGCTACTACTGCTAGTCATTGCCAAATGCAGCTACATATGAGACTATCAGTAGTACCAAGGGAACCAAAACCCTGGAAATTCTTGGGGTTCCCTAATTCTCTATATAGGAATGTTATAAAGGACCGAAAGAATTTCCAGGGTTTGGGTTCCCTTGGTACTCATAGCACTGATAGTGGTAGGATAATTGTCACAAGACGCAGCTTCCGAGCCCTTGAACGTCAAGGTCGGATGCGTCTCCTGCTACATGGGACAGGCCCCTAGCATGTTACACCTATGGCAAAAGTTCTTGTGAAATGATCCTACTACAACCATGAATGCCCTTCAATGCTGAATATCCTGAGAATTCTTGTAAGAGCATTGTCAAGATTGCTGCTGCTGCCGCCACCGCTGCTGCCGGTACTGCTGTAGCAGCTGCATTGTTAATTCTGAGTGCTCTTACCTTTGACTCTAAATTCCATTACCCTAAGCCCCTACGCTGTTGGACTTGGTTACCACCTGGCTTTGGTTTAGGCTTGTTGGACCCGGTGCATGACATTCCTCGAATCGGCATACATCTCAATCACCATCTGCCTATTTGTTTGAGGTTTGTGTGATGCCGAGTAGTTTTAACCATTCAGGGTGCCGCAAACCAGCCGATCACCTACCCAAGCTTCAAAGCTTCAACGCCAATATGTGCGGCTATCTTTCCGCACTGTACCTTGGAATGATTCCATGATTGGGCCTTGCAGGGCAAGTACCGGGCACAGTATATGCTGTGTGCCTAATCTGTGACACCTCAGAAAGCATGTGAAACAACCGCCACCGAGCCATCATCGTCAGCCTGAACCCTTGTGGAAGAGTGCGACTCATGAGACGACGGCAGCTCAGTCTCCTAAAGGGTTTTAGGGCTTCAGGGTGTAGGGTTTGGGGTTTAGGGTTTTAGGGTTTAGGGTTACCACTGAGAGTAGATTCCAGGATCCAAATCAGCGAAACAGCAAGCGGACGTCGAGGACCGAAAGCGCGGTCAAGTGGATTTGTGACTCGATGATGGCTTACTTTCGCTGTCACTGTCATGCAGTACTTCTAGGAACAGATAGGAGAAATATGCGGGAGGAAGAGGGTGTGTTTGTAGGAGTAACAATGCAGCGAAGTAGCAGAGCAGGATAGCGGTACAGCAGAGGAGGCAGAGGGGAGGAGATGGAGCAGTTAATGTTGTGGTTGTGGTTGTTACCATTACTGTTGCAGTTGCTTGCTTTTTTTCCGGTAGTGTTCTTGCTGCCGTGGTCGTAGTATTTCTGGTGGTTGTGCTAACTTGCCCGTACTAGTGCATAGTCGTATTCATGGTCATGGTATCATAGAATCATGGTAGTAGCAGCTACGACGACCACCGCCACGACAATCAGAAGAGTCGCGGGTAGCAGTCAGAATAGTGCAGGGGTGGCGGTGGCGGTGGTGGCAGGTGGCGGCAATTTGACGGCAGGGGTCGCGGCAGCAACACTGCTGCTGCTGCTCGTTCTGGTGGCGGAAGTGGCGGCGGCCATGTTGGGCTGGCTTGGGCGGTAGGGGGTGGCGGGGTGGAACTGCTGGCGCGGGCGACTCTGGTGGGGGTGCGGGCCCTGCTGTTGTCGCAGTGCTTGGCGTATTCTCCCTGGCTGTTGATGTAGGACTTGCACCTTGCTACAAATGGCTGTGAATCAATAACACTGGGTTTGTAACA